AAGCTCAATGCATTTAACACGATGTATTAAGCTAATTTTGAACTAATCCCTGATGCATTATATCTAAATAAACATAAGTTAAACGATTCCAGAACGGCACACAAACATGGCAGTCGGATATGCATGGAGTTGCCTATAAACTACACAATTGTTAGATATGCTTGCAGTTGTAAGATTTGTGGATTGGAGTTCCCTACGTACAAGAATGCTTGTCGGATATGCGTACGGTTTCGAAATCGAAATGAGTATGGTGAACAAGTCCGAGTAAACTCGCGCTTCGTCTCAGCCAAAACAAAAGGAAGTCATTTTTTGTGTGCGAATTTACTCGCCCTTGAACCAACTGGAAAACTAATTTCTTACTATACGGTGAATAAGTCCGAATAAACTCCAACTTGCACTCTTTGTTTCGAAATCGAATGCTCGTTTCAAGTGCGAATTTATTCGGTCTTCAGCCAACCAGGCCCTTGAATTTCTTACTATACAGTGGAAATGTTCATTTCAAGTGCAAATTTATTCGCTCTTGAACCAACCAGTAACGCAATTTCTTACTGTATGGTGAATAAATCCGAATCTACTCGTACTTGCATTTAATGTCCAAGTCTATTTGCCGCTGAAACAACCAGGAATCTATTTTCAATTGTGCAGAACATAAGTCCAAGTCAACTCGCACATGTGATCTCCCCTAAATGCAACACACTTTTGTACGTGCGAATTTACTCGCTTTTGAACCAACCAGGAATCTTATTTCTTACTGTATGGTGAATGTCTGGATCAACTCGCACTTGTACTCTCGCCGAAATGATCTTCATGATACACATTCAATGTGCGAGTCTATTTGCTACTGAACCAACGACGAATCTATTTCCAGCTGTATCGTGCATAAGTCCGAGTCAACTCGCACTTGTGCTCTGGCCGGAATGCGACAAACCATCCATACTCTATGTGCGAGTCTATTCGTTCTTAAATTTTAGTGTATGATAAATTGGTGTGTCGAGTGACGCGCACTTGTAGTCTCACCTGAATGCAAGTACGCCCCTTATTCTATGTGCTAGTCGATTCGTTGGTGAACCTACCACGGACCTGTTTCGTCTTGCATAAACAGGACCTTCTCCACCAGGAGTGACAATCAACTTGCACCGAAGAGAAAGTGTGAGTTCACTCGGACTTAACCAAACTACTTGCACGTTAAACGAACAATAAGGAACATCGGTCCTTCAACTCGCACACAAGAACGAGTGGGAGAGGAGTCGGATTTGTGAGACCACTTGACCTTTAAATCAGGGTCTGGAAGTGTCACAACATCCATGATTAGTTAAACAACGAATAAACTCGCACATATATAGATTACACGAGCCCACGAAAAAGAAATAAATTCAAATACTGATGTTTTATTATTCTGTGATAAATATTAGAAATGCGAGTTTACCGCATCTTGTTTTTTTCCCTGACCTCGTTATACGTTGGCGTGATTTTCTTGTTGTACCATTTTCGTGCGAGTTGTCTCTTCAAATGGGTGTCCAAATTGTCCCCTACGTCACGCCACCTCCACCGTCACGACAACCCGGAGAAGACGATGTTCAAGAACGTAGTTCTTTTGACAACAGCCCGGAAGCTCCCTGTGAACGGCCTCGTGATTTGAAAAGGGAGTTCTCTATGTTGACCCCGACAAATTGTTTGGGCTCCTCTACGACGTCCAGTCGGCGTCCTATTGTTCGCTTTACCAACGTTCCGGACGGTCAGCGAGTATCTACAACGTTAATCCCCGATAGTGAGGGTGATCGAGATATGCAGAAGATTCCCGGTGGATTGATGTTCGTGCACACAAATTTTTATGGGGTATGTCCGAAACGACTTGATCAGATGTCGTGTGGACAACTGGTCGGTTGTGTGAAAGCATTGAAGTTCCCAACCCCTAGCATTTTACTATAGTCGGTCGTTGGTGGATGCATAATTTTGTGGTACGCCCGATAGAAACGGGTCTGATCGAGAACCGTCCGATACGTCCTATAGAAACGGATCTGACCAGGAACAGGCAACGGAACGTCCGTGTAAAAGTGCCGATGGAGGTAAGAAAATTGCAAGTGAATCCAGAAAAATTGAATCTCCCCTAGGTTTGTTGAGTTCGCAGGTCAACGTACGTGCTCTATCGATGCCAGTTATGGGTGCGACAGGAAATTGGCAGATTGGTTTTGTAAACACAGATTTCTACAGTTTTTCTAAGTCCTCCCGGTCTGATTTGTCGAGGATCGCTCCCACGGGCATATCTAATTTTATGGATGCAACGTAGCGGTCCCCGTATACGACTTATGTTGGAACTCCCGAAGCGGTTCGTCAGGTCTTGTCTCATCCCCTACCTGGAGAAAGGAGAAGATATAATCGAAAAAATAGGCCGATTAGAAAGTGAGAACATTCGAAGAGGATCAAATGTCGATTGAATGAGACTAAGGTTTCGCTCGTCCCAGCGCACAAATGCTGTAAGAACAAGTGTCTTCGGGTCTTAACCATTGACGATATCAAACCAGTGTGTGACGCTTATTATGAAATGTCCCTCGAAAAGGGGGTCGAGTGGTGGATGCAAACCCTGGACAATTTCCCTGTCCTCGACGGTGGTCTGGAAAGAGTCCAACCAGTGCAGTGCAAGCACCATGTGTGCATCGCCGGTTGGTGTAAAATAATTGGATATGTCGAAACACACTCCGTCATTATGGCAAGTGTAAGTCAGACGGGGTAGTCCGTGGCCGGCATGGTCGATGGGGATTGTTGAACCCGAGATCGGAGTATGTAGTCATGCTGGCTCGTGTGACAACGTTCGTGGAAGAATATGGAGATGCTATGCCTGACGACATGGTTGTGAGGGGGACCTCGCACAAACCTAAAGTCGGGCTCCCTGCTTATTTTACGAAGCTCCTTGTCTACAAATCCATCAAGGCGGACTTGCTAGCAGCGGGTCTGAATGTCGTTCCAGAGCAAGTCTTCTACTCTATAGGGAGGAAACGCTTGTGACATGCGGACCTTGCCAAATCCAACTCGTTCAAAAAATGTGGCGAGTGTGTCCGCCTTAGACAAGCTAGAGATAACGCCCTTCGCCTTCGTGACTGTAAGGATTCCGATGAAAAACACCATAAACACCAACTGGATCAAGTCGCTCATTGTGCGGATTACACTCACTGGAAACTTCGTTCCATTTTGAACCCCACGGAATACCTTTGTCTCATAGTGGATGAAATGTATCAGAAAAAGACAATCATTCCTCACATCGACACGACATGATGTAGTAAACGAACCTCACCACAGTTGTAGCTCGCGGAAGGAAAATGTCGGTTTATCTTTACACGTATTTACCTTTCTGTGTGCACGGTTCCGATGACACCATGACGTGTGTTATGCGACTTTATCTGAGTTGCCGTCGTCGGGACACAAATGGTCATGCCACCTCCGAATCCAGACGGATAACTGTTGGAGGGAAAACAAAAACAAATACCTTATATGCTTGGCCTCACTTCTCGTGAAATTCTCGATTTCCAAAGATGTCGAAGTGGGCTTCATGCTCGTTTGCCACACGCATACCGACATAGACGCGACTTTTAGTGTTTTCTCGAAAAAGTTGAAGGACAACGATTCTTATACCATGAAGTAGTTGTTCTCGCTTATCAAGTCGTCGCACAAGATAACGCCGAAGTGCACTGAGCTCGATCACGTTGTCGATTGGCGCAGGGTAGTGGATCGATACATCGACAAAAACATCGTCGGCGTGTCGAAACCACATCTCTTCAAATTCTTCATGCGGGGCGGTAGTCCCGTCATGGTGTACAAAAAGTACTGCACCGATGCGGAATGGAAGCCGGAAGGCAGACCAGTTAACTGGTTCGCAGTTCTGGATGTAGAGTATGCAGGCTCTACCTCCCCTCCACAATCATGTGTTATTCCCCGTGTCGTTAAAGAGGATTTTCGGATAGCTCGTAACAGTGTTCAGAAATTTCTCGACGTCCTCGAATAACACAGACACATGTGGCAGACATATAGGAAGGAGGAGGTCGAAAAGCGAGAGGATGCGTTGTCTTACTGGAAAGCCATCTTCGTCGAGGCGGACGATATGATGCAAGAGGAAAAGAAGAACGAGACGGAAAAGGGTGAGGAAGAGGATGTCCTCGAGGCGGACGAGCCCGAGATCTACCCTCTTGCCCTCTAGCCACAATCAGTCGAAACTGTGGTCAAAGTTCAAAAAATCGACCCTCCTTCGCAAGAGGCTTCGCTTATATATGTAGGATCAAGGGCAGGCCGTCCAAAAGTAGACTTCGATACTCGACAAAGGTGATTTTGTGATTGTCAGGCCACCCGATGAGGAAGTGTCTCAACGTGTCCCGTTCCGGGTAGGTAGAGCGCAGTGTGAGGTTGTCGACGACCGTTCCTCTCCAAATTTTGGTTGCTTATGTATACAGTGGTTGGTGCCTACAGGTCACTCGTCCGATCTTCACGAAAGGTACTCCGGTGCTTGGACGAAGTGGTGAAAACTTTCCATTTCAGACGAGGAACAATGGCAACGCGTCGAAGCCGTGGCTTATTCCTGGAGAAGACCCTTCTGCAAAGGAACGAATGAAAGTAAATTCGTGACAGGCCTTACAATATTGGCATCCGTCTGCGAGAAAGCACTTGTTGCCCTTGGGGACGGTTGTCTTTCCGGTCCGTCCGATGTGCCCATTTAGTTAAATGCGAACTGATTCGATTTGTTAGCTACGAACTCCGCAAAGATAATGACGAAACGTTAACTGCAAAATTAGTCCGATTTCTTGTCCTGGAGGATGCATGAGGACGGCGCACCATCGTGCGACGTTGTATATGAGACAACGTCCTACGAAACCTCGGCATACGAGAGCGAGTATTTCTTTTCGATCGAGAATGTGGACAGGGATCTTATCATCATGAACAAAAATATTTGGGCATGACGAATGGTCAGTCTTGATAGCGATTATCTGCATATAGAAGCTGGGGTCGGCCTCGACGGTTACATTGAACCCGAAACACATGTTGTTGATGGACAAACTACAATAGTTCGTGATAGAGGGCCAAATATGTGGTACCTCTACTGGAGTTTAAAAGAAGTTAAACTTTGGGAAGTTCCATCCATTCAAGAGGAGAAGGTCAACAACGAGGATATGCTAGATACGTGGAACTCACTGCGCTTAGACTCGGATTGTATGGACGACCACCATGCTAAACTTTACACATGGTACTGCATCGGGAAGTTGCAGTTGCGTTTCCCTGTGATCATAGACCACCATGGCCGAGTTCGTCATTTCAACCGTGACACCCCTGTACTAACTCTTTTCACGGAGACCAAGCTTTATGGTAAGCAAATGAGAGCTTTCTTCCTTGTCAGGGAAGACTTTCGCGAGCCCACGATTGCAGGTGCTCTGAAGCGCTTCCGTGATCAATTCGAAATAGATCCTTCGCTCGCAAAAGAATTGAATCTAAGAGTTGATTGTTTGGTGCATGCCCAACCTCACTTCCTTTTCGGATTATGTGAGGAGATATTCTTCACGTTGGAACACAAGGACAACTACAATGACTACACTCTACGAAAAGTTTCGCATCACCGTTTGGGTGTCCAGACATTGGAATTCGTAGGTGGTAGGCGGAGACAGATCTACGATTGTCCTTACGGTGACGATGGACACCAGTCGCCATGACCTGGTATGTGAGCCTTCCTATTTGAAAATTTCCACGACTCCGAGCTAGTTCACATTTTGCTGCTATACTCATATGAAAACCTTGTTGTTCATCGACGACCGCGTTGTTTACATTAGTCTGAGTTAACTCGTCATTGTTGTCAGTGTTTCCACCCCGCGGGTCCGCTTTTTTCGCTTCTCCTGACCTTCGCAGAATTGGGAGTATGGACACCCTGCAACGAAGTGTGAATCTATTCTCAGTTATCGGATCCCTAGTAGGCTGTTTCATTCCTCCTTTCACTAGATGTGTGAGTCCTATAAACTAGCATAAGTGGGAGTATACTTACAGATGCCATTCCCGCTAGACTCATTGTGCATCATCATTTACATGCCACCTCGTTCTCTCCTCCCACAATGCAGCATGAACTCCAACCAGACCTTGGCCCGCGCAAATACTTCCTGCTCGTCTCACGACGCCGTTTCTCCAAACTGGATTCCCGACCTCGAAAGTCACGTCGTTATTGTCATGTGTTGTATTCACCCTCATTCCCTTTACTTGATATGTCCCTTACTACATAGTCCCCCCTCCATGTGTCGTGTGTTTCACACACTCCCATCATCTCAAACGGGACACTCATTGCTTCGACACGTATTGCAAGATGAACCCCAACCAGACTTCAAGTGTTTGCACTCACGTTAGCTGAGCCAATTGAGTTATTGTTCCTCTCCATGCGACGTCTTACTGTTTCCCACACATGATCTCATTACTTTGAACAAAAATATATGGGAGAACCATCTCATGGGCATTGACCCTCGATATTTGCATATTGAAAGCGATGTTGCGCCGGACGGGCACATCTCTATGCGTTTACCATATGACAATGACAGACAAATTGTGGTCGCCTTGGATAACGGGTCGAACTTCTGGTACCTGTACTCGCTGCAGAAAGAGGTTGAGGTTAAGGTAGATCATGACGGCGGCGAGGAGGATGATAAGGATCCTTGGGACGTTCCAACGGAGATGATTGAAGTTTGGAATACCCTTTATGCCATCCAACGATGGCCAGCCCAAGACAGGAGCCACCTGAAGCTATGTGCACGGTTTTGCCTTGGAAAACCGGAGTTGCGGACCCCATACATTGTTGACTACTACGGTCGAATTCGGGTGTTGAATCACAACACTACCGTTATTACGCTTTTTACCGTCGTCAAGGTTGATGGTCGAAAAATGAAAGCTCATTTTGTTGTAAGGGAGGAGTACCGAGGTGTCACCCTCAGTCGCGTGGAACCGTTTCACAGCCCGACACTTGCCAGTGCTCTAGGGCGATTAAGAACTCGGCTACATTTAGATACGACTCTGAGGAAGGAGCTCAAGTTCAGGGTCGATTGTTTGGTACACACTCAATTGCACTACCTTTTCGATAATTGCGATGACATATGCTGGACAGTTGAATACAGGGATCACAACATGGAGGTTGTTTTCCACAAAGATGACTACCACCGGTCGGGTACGACTCCATACGAGGAAGGTGGAACTGCTCACCTGTACTTTGAGAAAAGTATATGATTGTCCTTACTGTGAAGACGGGCATCCCTGGTCGGTGTTTCCACTGTTCCTTTGAGTGGGTGTGTCCTTGCACAATTTTGAGTGGTAGTATACTCGTCGACAAGGTGATGTCGACGTTTGTCAACGTCCGACTGCATGATGTGTACGACTGTCTGTATTGTCGCAACGAACATCCTGGATATCTGTAAGGAAAATGGTCCTCAATAGGACAGTAGTCTGACCGTTCCACATGAATCACGTGTTGGAAATGATTCGAGATTAAGCGGCGGTTGCAGGACTTGCGCTCGCTTGCGAAGTACGAATCTATTCTCACTTATTGAACCACATGAATGACATGTGGAAAATAAGTCGAAATTCAACAGCGATTATAAAACTTGTGCTCTCTTGCGAAGTACGAATGTATTCCTAGTTGTCGAACCCTTTCGTGCATCCGATAAGATCGCGTATTTGTTTTTTATGCACTTGGGAGAATCGCAACTGACCTGCTTGATTGTGTTTCTCTGATGATGCCGAGTGGATGTCGATACTTTGTCGCAGAGTAGGAACTCCTTAGCGCCAGACATCGATCTGATTATTTTGTCAAAGAATATTTGGGAGGACATTGGGCGTTTTGGTGTGGACCGTGACTACCTGCACCTCGAAAATGATGTTGCCCCCGACGGGGAAGTCCCTTTGTGGCAAAGTGCGGAAGAAGGACCCCTTCTGATTTGCTGTGATACAGGGTCGAACTTTTGGTACGTGTACACTCTGATCAAGGATGTACAGGCATGCCCTATCGGGTTGGAGTCATGTCTGAAGAGGGAACCCGTTGAAGAGGAACCCGTCCGAAATTCTGAGATGGTGGAAGTATGGCACATTCTATGTGAAAAACTAAAGTTGACGTCGTCGGACAAGTTGCATCAAAAACTTTGTGCCTCATTTTGCCTCGGGAAACCGACAAAGTCAGCGCCGGTAATCATAGACTACTTTGGTCGACTGAGGGTGTGTAATCGTGGCACCACTGTGGTAATGCTCTTTAGTGCAGTGAAGGTGGACAGTCGAAGAATAAGAGCTATTTTCCTAGCAAAGGAGGAATTTTATGGTGTGAAACTCACTTTATTTCAAGCGTTTCACACATCCGTGCTTACTGGTTCCCTTGCGCGGTTTAAACATAGACTAGCCACAGCTCCGGCACTCAAGGATGAGCTGGATTTGAGGGTTGACTGCTTGGTGCACCAGCAACTCCACTACCTCTTTGATCGCTGTGACGAAATAAAATTCACCGTCGAACATAGGGACAATGAATTGCGATTTGTTCACCGTCGTCTGCATTATTCAGCCTTCGGACCTCAAGATGTCACACTGCGCAACGCGAAGACGAGATATGTGTGCGACTGCCCTTACGACGATGCTGGGCATCTACATCTTCACCACCGGCGTTAGACTCGCACTTCGCTTACATCCCATTGAATTTCATTGAATGCAGACGACAGTTGTTGCCGTAACTGAGAACATTTATGGTTTGGCAACAATGGGCTTCCCAGATACCGCTACCTTCCGATCCCCGAAGATGAGGACAAGCCGTCGTTCTACGGAGAGAAGGTGATGACAACCCGTCGTTCTGGAGAGACCGTTATCCGTTCCAAATCTGTAACTCGAGCAATTTGAATGAACTTTTAAGAGATATACTCTTGTGCGACTTGCTGAATATCGAAGCAGATCTTCAGGTCCGAATTTTCGAACCAAGTCCTTTTATTTGAGTTCGACATTAACGAGCGCAACGACGACGATTGCGGGAGGGCCGTAGAGGCTACTCGAAGACTCCAAATGCTGCTACCATGGAGATCGTACTAACTTTTTTCACTCGACACATGATACGAAGATAGTCATCGTCTTAGGATATTCGGACTCGATATGCGAGTAGACTCGCATTTATCACCCCATGCCTTCGACAATTGGTCTGGCCCTATCACGCTGGGGAGATCGTGTCGGGTTTGGATTAACTTCTGTGTGAGAGTTGTGTAGGGCCTGTAGGCAGGTGAATATCGTGCCGGGCTTGGATGGGCTTTTGTCTAATGTAGGACTTCGGCAGGAATCAGCGTTTGTGTAGGTCTTCGGCTTGAAGAAGTGTTTGTGTACGACTTCGGTTGAACTTGTGTTCGACATGTTCGTATTTGAGGCAGGGCTTGTTTCTCGTGTAATGTCGGACTTTTCGGTTTGTGTTGGACTTCGGTTGAGGTTGTGTTCGACATGTTCGTCTTTGAGGTAGGGCTTGTGTTTTCGTGGCTCCGGCGATGAGGGCATGTCATGTAGACTGTACGGAAGTGTCTTTTGTAGATGAGGGCGTGTCATGTAGACTGTACGACGTCGGTGTACTGCTTGATTTTTCCAGAAGATATCCACATTCGCGTATTGTGTAGACGAGGGTGTAGGTCATTCGTCGTTCCTCTCGGCTCCATGTCCTTTACGACGTGGCCTTGAATAATTTTTGGAAAGCCTACATGTACCTTAGAACGTGTCTTCCAATGATTTTTGGAAAGGCTCTGAGAACTTTGTGATTTTTGGAAAGCCTCTATGTACTTTCGAAGCATTGAATTATTTTTGAAAACACCTATGTGTACTTTGCAACTGCGTAGCATGCTGTTCGCGTTTGGTCGCTGAACGCGAACGGGTCGAAAAACCGACCGAATGCGAATGTATTTTCTTTTTTCTTTTTATTTTTTTTATATATGGGTCTGGGAGGGGTTGGGGGTGTTGGGGGGGGTTGCCCATCACTCTTGTGGGAGGGAGGAGGAGGAAGGGGAAAAAGAAAGGTCGGGCATAGGAGGAGGAAGGGGAAGAAGAAAGGTCAGTTGGAGGAGGAGGAAGCGGAGGAGGAGGGGTGAGGGGAAGAAGAAAACGAGGAGGAAAAGGAGGGGGAGGAAAAGATGGTGGGGGCGGGTTGGCGGCGGAGATCGAAGGAGGGAAGGGTAGTGGGGGGAATTCCACGATGTAGGGGGTGGAGGAGATCGCACAGCGGTGGGGGGGAGGTCGGGTCGAAGTCGGGGTCAGTTCGTGACAGAGGCGGG